GTATTTTCTTTTTCTTTTTTTTTTATTTTTAATATTTATTATTTTTTAGTTCTCGGCGGACACAACATCTTTGTTGGTATGTGGTGCTGAGGATCGAACCTGGGCCCCACACACGCCAGGCAAGCGCGCTACGGCTTGAGCCACATCCCCAGCCCAGTATTTACTCTCTTAAAGGATGGTGTTGGAGAAAGCAAAGGCCTAGGGAATTGTATCATTAAAAAAAAGTCTTTTATTAATAAAGTATTATTACATAATTTAAAAATTTCATTTTTTTTGTACTTAACATTGAAACTCAGGGGTGCTTAACTATTGAGCAACATACCCAGCCCCATATTTTTTTTTGCCTTTCAGAATCTTTATTCATTCATTAACATTAGCCATGCTGTTTTTTTCCCCACTTTTTTTTATTGGTACATTATAGTTGTACATATTGATGGGACTTGTTACATATTTGTACATGTACACAATGTAACACTATAACTTGATCACTGTCACTCTCCAGCATCTTCCCCTTCTCTCCTTACCTTCAATCCCTTTGTTCTTTTCCTCTGCTGCTCTCCCTTTGATTTTTAGGAGATTCACTCCCACCTTTCTTTTTCTTTTTCCTCTCTAGCTTCCCTATATGAAAGAAAACACAGGACCCTTAACTTTCTGAGTTTGATCCCAGCCCTTTTTGAGATCTCACTAAGTTGCATAGGGCTTTACTAAATTGCTGGGGCTGGCCTCAACTCAGCCTCCAGAGTGGCTGGGATGACTGGCACGCACCTCCATGCCTTGCTGTTAGAATTTCTAATTGTCTCCCTGCCTTCCTTCTTTCCTCCTTTCTTTTTTTTTTTTTTACTGGGAATTAAACCTAGGGCTGCTCTACCAGCCACTGAGCACACGCAAGCCTTTTTTTATTTTATTTATTTATTTATTTTTAGTTTTATTGATTTTATTTTTTTAAATACGTAACAGCGGAATGCATTACAATTCTTATTACACAAAGTACAATTTTCATATCTTTGTATATAGAGTATGTTCATACCAATTCATGCCTTTATATGTGTACTTTGTTTTTTTTGCATTATAATTTTTATTACACATATATACCACTATTTTTCATATCTCTCTTCATATATAAAGTATGTTGCCACCCAGTTAGTGGGAGAGATTTGGTCAGGAACAGAATATTGGTGAGTTATCAGAATAATATCTAACCAGATAAAAAGGGGAAAATAGTAACTTTACATTGTAGAAACTTGACAGATACCAACTTGACCAGGCCATCATGGCTAACATCCTTAGTGATAGGAAGGATATAGTATGCAAGGCATTATTTCCATATAGTCTTTCCAAAATGTGTACCCTAAATCTGATTATGAAGAACATCAGCTAGACCCAGAGAGAAGGGTTGTCTTAGAAAATGAGAGGTCTGTACTCTTACAGTCAAGACATGAAAGACGGATAGGGCAAGACTGAAATACTGTTCCAGGGTGCAGGGGAGGGAAGATCTGATAGCTAAATGCAATATATGTTCCTGGATAGGATCTTGGATCAGAGAGACATTGTTGATACACTTGGTAAAATTTGAATGTTTGTTGATTGGCTTTACGTTATACCAGTGTTGATTTCCTGATTGTGAGGATTAGTAATATAAATTGTATTATAATTTATATAAATATAATATAAGAGTATAATATAATGTATATAAATATAAATAAATAATATAAATATAATTTAAAATATAATTTAAAATTTATAAATATAGTGTAAAATATAAATATAATTTATATAAATTAGTAATATAAATAGTAATATAAATTGTCCTGTATTTTGGGAAGTGTACACCAGAGTTTAGGACATTTGAAGCATTATCTTATAGAAAGATATGTAAGTATCCCAAGCAGTCATACACCTTTTCTTGAAACTTAATTCAAATTAAAACCAATAAATGAAATATGTTTTTCTAGCTATAATTTTTTTTTGGGGGGGTACCAGGGATTGAACTTGGGGGCATTGACCATGAGCCACACCCCCAGCTATTTAGAGACAGAGTCTTATTGAGTTGGTTAGGGCCTCAATCTTCCTGAAGCTGACTTTGAACTCATGATCCTCCTGCCTCAGCCTTCTGAGCTGCTAGAATTATAGGTGTTTGCCACCATACCTGGCCTCTAGCTATAATTTTAATCTTCCTTCCTTTCTTGTTTCTATATTTATAAATAATTATATTTTCTATATTTGTAGTATGATTTGGTCAATACATACTGGTTGAAAAAAATACTCTCCTTAATTATCCAAGAATAGTAAGTATTTTGTTTCTTAATGGGAATAATAAATAAATTTTTAATGATCTTTTTCAGAAAGCTGAAGTTGATGGTAGTTTAAGTGATAGCCACGTATCTCCTCCAGCCAAACGCACTTTGAAACAACCAGATTCTGTTTGCAAAGACAAATCGAAATCTCGAAGTACTGGTCAGCGAGAAGAATGGAACATAACAACTGGACAGACCAGGTGAGAAGGGAGGATTTATTCATTGCTTTTTCATGAATTATTTGATGTGATTCAGAGTTGATATTAATGCTAATGTCTTAACTTCTAAGTCAACTAGTATCTTAAATACTTGTAGATATAAATTAAGCTAGTTTTATAATATTTTGTCTGTAAATTTATTTTCTCCAAATGTTCTGTAAAAGGTATATGTGTTATAAAGATATATAGTGTGTAATAGAAACTATTATTTTAATGGATCTTGAGTGGGCATTCATATTTATAGTCCTGAAAATTTATGACTAGCTTAATAAACCTAGTTTTATTTATTTATTTTTAAAAATATTTTTTAGTTGCTGATAGATCTTTATTTTTTTAATATGTTGTGCTGAGAATCGAACCCAGTGCCTCACACATACCAGGCACATGTACTACCATTGAGCCCCAGCCCCAGCCCCAGCTCCATAAATCTAGTTTTAATAATAAAACATATGATTAGATTTATATTTTTTAATGGAAAATAAATAAAATCTCCCCTTTCTAAGATTATTGAATGTTTTACTTGAATTGATATACTATAATGTAATGAGATTTCAATTATTATAAAAAAAATTTTTTCATGCATTATCTTGTTTTCAATTAAATTTGCTTTGTGTTTGGTTCAATATGTATCAGAAGAACTTAATTTTGCTCTGTTTCAAAGTAAATGGTAATAACTTAATGTAGGTTGGATAGGTGTGCACACAAATAAAAAAAGATTTTAATATTGAACTATAAATCTTTAGCTGTTGCTTCTCCAAAGTCTTTGATGTACAATTGCTGATGAAATACAGAGAACAAACTAAAGGGAAGTCCTTTGTTTTCATTCTTTTTCAAGTGTTTAAAGGTATCTTAATTTCATAAATGGAGGCAAATTCTGGATACTGTTGCTTTTTTTTTTTTTAAATATTTTTTTAGTTGTAGGTGGACATAATACCTTTATTTATTTATTTATTTATTTGTATGCGGTGCTGAGTATTGAACCCAGTGCTTCACATGTGCCAGGCAAGTGCTCTACCACTGAGCCACAACCCCAGTCCTGAATACTGTTACTCTTTAATCAAAATCTTGGTGTTATACAGACTTTGATGGGCTGTGTACATAAACTCTCTAAGGATTTATATTTAATACAGTATGTTCTATAAAAGATATTACTTTTAATTTTTAAAAATTTTCGTCAGGAGACTGAGGCAGGAAGATCCCGTGAGCCCAGGAGTTAACATAGTGAGATCCTGTCTCTTAGAAAAAGAGTACTGCTGGGCTGGGGATGTGGCTCAAGCTGTAGCGCGCTTGCCTGGCATGCGTGCGGCCCT